TGTCGTCTATGTCTAGCAAATCACGTTCCGTATTACGTAAATTGTATTGAACTTTTTGCGTCAGTGCATGTTATACGAAAGACTTAGGCAACGAACTTGCTGGCTAACCTACATATAACATAATCGAATCGATCAGCCTCAGCATCAGAACCAGAAGCGCACGCTTTCAAAATGATTTATGCAAAAAGTTAAATACAGTGGCACACACTCATACACACACGCACAACAAGCGTCGCGAGTATACTATATATATATAAATATATGTACGTGTTGTTGTTGTTGAGGTGTTGTGTTAATCTAAGTTGCGCGCGATCTGTTTGGGTTTTCGTTGAGCAGCCGCGACTCTTGTGCTAAAAAACCATTCACGACAAGCTGACAATCGAGACTGAGCCGTTCTCGGCGTGCGCCTTACAAAAAAAACCTTAATGGGAAAAATATATATTTCCAACCAGCCTCAATACTCAAAAACAGAAACAGAAAAGCAGAAAGAAAAAAAACTAAATACCGACTTTTAAAAACAGTTGCTCAAAATATAAAGAGTGAGCGGCTAAAGCAGCGGCACTCCGCTCCACTCAGCGCCAGCGACGTAAGTTTTTTTGAATGGCAAAACGAAAAATAAAACAAAACCGGACAAAATATGCGAATCAATCGATGCGATCAGCAAATGCTCTAACAAAACCCTAAGGCCTTACAAATTTTAGCAATTTTCTTTGATGATCGATAAATAATCGATACAAATGAATGATTGAAATATTTTAACTGATTTTAAATCAAATTTTATTTAAAAAAATATTTAAATTAATCAAAGAAAAATCTTGATGACCAATTAAAGCTCATTCCAAATTATAGCTCTGTGCGTCCGAAAGTTCAAATATTCTGATATTTTTATTTAAAATAGAATTCTTTTGATTCTGATTTCAAAATTTAAGCTAAAAGTTTTTGGTTTGGTTTTTTCTTTGTCAAATTCAGTTTTTTAAATAGTTTTTATCTCTCTCTGCGCTGATGGGCCTGGGTCGACGCGATGCTGGAATATTGGTTTTGGTTCGATTTGCGACTCGTTTGTTTCATTTTCGAAAAGCGCATATTAATCACCAAACAAAATCGTCGTTGTCGTCTTGAAGGCAATGAAAAGCAAAAGTATTTTTAAAGTGGGCTTTAAAAAAAAACAGGTTGTGAAGAGCGATCAAAGAGTTACACTTGCCTAAGAGCGTAAACAGAGGCGCAGCTCTCTCGCTCGCTCGTTCATGATCTCTCTCTCTCTCTCCATGTGGCGCTCTCGACTCTCTTGAGATACTTTTTGCCTAGAACTAGGGTCTAGGCATTACAGCACGTTGGAGTGGTATCCGTCAGCTATGTCGCTGTAAAGTCGAGTGCAATTGGCGATGAGCTAAAGCGGATGATGATGTTGATGATAATGATGCTGCTGGGACTGCTGATGAGTGTAGCTAGGACAGCTGTACGAGGGCGTAGACACGTCTACGTCACAGTCAAGCAAAGACATTCGATTTGCATATTAACACCTCTTTAACTGGATCGGCTAGCTCTTTCTCTCTCTCTCTCTCATTCTCTCTATCTGGCCGCCACTCGCAGTGTCTCGCTCTCTCTCTCTCGACAAGCTTTGCACATGGAGTCTAAAGTTGTTCCGTTTACGGAAACGGATGCAACAGCTGAGATTCCATATGATCTTATCGATCGCATGAATGTGTCAGGAAAACCCGCCCTAATGAGCAGCCTCTCGCTCCTGATCGATCGACACGAATTCCAAAAAATGATTCACACTAAAATCAATTGATAGGAAAATTTATTCCACTCGGAAAACCTATAAATAAGTCGCTTGTACTTGACTCTGGAATGTTGGAGGCACTGCCTCTGTGTGTGTGTGTGCGTGTGTGTATGTGTGTGTTTCTTTATCTCTTTTTTAGAAAGGCTCGCGTCCATTCTTTAGCTCAACATCCTACCTCTGTACTTGTATGTAAATGAGCTATACCTAAACTGTAGCACTGTAGAGTGTTGACCACGCCATGGCCATGGCTAATAGCAGGCATATTGTTTCTATTTTTTTATTTTTTTTATACATTTTTTATGACGGACAACGCTGACCAAGCCCAACAAATATCGCACATTCGCTACGACCAGGGCTGGTTCGCCTCTTACTCTTATTGGCGTACACAATTGTAATTGGTGTAAAAGTTGTTAAGTGAGTTAAGTTTAACTTGAATTCATTTCTAGACTAGCGGTTCAGAATTCGTGTGATTTTGTGGCTCACTAAAGATTCTTGTGTTGTCCATGTCCTAATGTTTCCAGCTTAAGTTCTACCTAGAAGTATTTCCGTTCGATTTGGAATGTCCTGCTTCAGCTTGCTGCCAATCGCACGTTGAACCTTTGACCTTGCTTAAATATCCTCTGCTCGATCTCACTCTAAGAAGTTTAATTCTTTGATTTGCTGGTTCGAAGGAAGTATTTTAACAGTTCCAATATTTTAGAGATGGTGGATTATTATTTCAGCTGGAACTAATGTTTTTGTTTTAAGACTCTTGCTCGAACTTCAAAAGTTCTATCTCTGAAGTTCGCTAGATTTCTTAACAGTTTGAATCTATTTATTTAGTGCTCATTAGTGCACGAAAATAGTCTGCCTTGTTTTGAGATACACAGATTAAACAAGCTTTGTACTCTTTGAAGATTCTCAGCTTCCGATTCACATTTTGTTTTGCTTCCCAATTTCGCTTTCGATTTTTACCCAAGTCTATTATTAAGGGTCCTTCTGTGAACTCCGTCTACGGTTCGGTTCAGAGTTGTTATACAGAAATAGTTTTAAATCTTGACAAATTTACCTATACTACAATATGGCATACTCTAAAAGTTTGAAGTTCAATTTTGGTCTTTAAATAAGCTGGAACTAAGAACTTGAATCAGCTCATTCTGAGTTACTTTGTATCAAATGTTGCAGTTTAAACTGCTGATTTAATAAAAATATATATATGTGATATATGTGAGAATCTTTCAAATAACTTAAGACGATATATTTTATATTTTTTATATTTTAGATAACGTGCCCGCTGTTCGCTAATCCAATTCAACTCAGCTGGAATGCTCACTCGTTCTTAATCAAGATGTTCGGCGCTTGCCAGCCCTACAAATCGAGTGGCAATGCATAGAGATAATACTCTCTATGTACACATATGTATGCCCACATACGTATGCACTGGCAATTGTTTGCATAGAGTCAAAAGCTAGAACTAGTTTCCTATGAGTATCCGCGCATAGTTCGCCCCACCAACAACAATGAGTGACAAAAGCTAGCGCCAGTTTTAATGTGCCTTGCCTTTCCCTTTTTTTTATACACTTCTTATATATATATGTACATGTATGTGAGGCAACACTTCTTGGTAATTGTCTGAACTTATCTAATCCACTCGACAATCAGACGAAAAGATCTATAAATGACATTCTGCCAAAAAGAAACTGTCAAAAGTCAATACACAACACAACATAAGATCATATAAGATCATTTATATATATATATATGTATATGTTTATAGAGCTGCCTTATCGAAATGTGCTCTCGAGCTTTGGCCTTAACAAATTTTAACTGCCAATCTTTTGTGCAGTCACAATAAAATATATAAAACGCCAAACATCAAGTGTTTGTTGTTCGAATTTCAATTTCAATTTCAATTTCAATTCCTAATACCAATTCCCGAGCTGCGAGACGAATGACACCAAAATATTTGAGACGTTTGCCGTGGGGCGCTGCTGGCGGGGTACAGTTCGCCAATGCTCTTAGATCGTTGATCGATTCGATCAGCATAAAACTGAAAGAATAAAAAATAAAGAAAAAATCGCTTTAATTAGAACCAATTTAAAGCGTGGACCAATTTATCAGAAGCATTTTGAAAAGTAGTTGAAAACCAGTTGAGATCAACTTCAGCGCCATGTGCACACCTCTGTGAAGGGAGGGCTGGCAAGGGGCTGTGCGGGGTGGGAGGCGTGGCTGGTTGTTGTTTACTGTCTTGCTTGGCAGTCCGGACCTCATAGATCGAACTATAACTCAAACATTTGCCATTATAAGTGACTTATTATTCCAGCTAAACTGAATTGAAATTTAGCTTTTACGCATTCGATTTCCTTTGTCAATTGTCTGCGCTCTGATATGGTTTATTGTGTGGCTAGGTGTGGACCCCAAACACCAGGTTCAAGTGCACACGCCACATTGTTTTCGTTATATATATAAACTTGAGTTATTTGCAGCTGCTTGCGAGCTGAGTTACAGAAATAACTAGAAATTCAAAGGGCGCCGGGGGCTTGAACCCTCCAGGGCAATACGTTTGACTCGGAGTTGAAACTTGAATGTCAGCAGCTGTCGAGAATGGTTCCAATCAAGGTTTTTCCTTCTTTGGCGTGCACACAGAAATTATGTTAAGTTTGTGTTTGTAAATCTGTCACAAGTTTTTGTATATAAAAAAGCTTGCAGAAACTTCTAAAGTTACCCTTGCTTACTCTAGCTAAAAATCATAGCAGTTAGAGATATTGAAATTTTCTACTCAAAACTTTGACTGAAAAATATTACAGCACTTCATTATAGCCTTTGTGACATGCTTTACAGACTTATTAAAACTTATATAGCTACCCTCGTCTAGCTGAAGCTCAACACATAGAAATAAAAATGTACTGTCAAATTTTAAATATCAAACTAGATTTGACCTAGCAACCAAATCCTATAGACACTCTCGCATGCTCAGGTAGATCAGAAGTAAGAAATATATTTAGCATATTTAAAGGCAAAGTTATAAGCCCTGCTACAAACTCCTTTAACTACCCGAAGTTACGAACTTCTTTAGCTACCCTCGCACGTTTAGCTTTACACCTGGAAACAAGTTAATTATTTTGGTATTTGGCAACCCAGAAGTCCGTCAAAAATTTCCCAATCATTAATTATCATTCCATTTCTGGCTAGCTTTTGCTGTTGCCTTGTCATAAACATCTGAGACGCTGAATGGGATTACGAACTGAATCAGAATCTTTATTGCCAGCTGCGACTTTTGCTCGCTGTGCGCTGGACAACTACAAAATATTTTTTGTGTCTAATTGCTTAAGTTAGTAGCGATCATATTTCGCTTTGCTGGGCACACCCGGCGCTTGGCCATTGCTCGCCATGCTTTGGCTTTGGCTTTGACTTTGGCTCTGACTGTGGCTCTGATTGTGACCGTGGGTGGAGGCCAGCGTGTAGACCTCATAATCGCTGATCGTAAAGTTGTAGTCGCCAAAAAGTGTCACATGGGCGGCACTGGGTCCATCGTAGGAGTGTGGCAGATTGGAGTAAGAGTCAGTGTTTACGTTGCAGTTGCTCGATATGAGCAGATCAGCACCAGCGCCAAAAGTGGGACCACAGCTGTATGGATTATTAAGATTAAATGTGTACCTTGATCAACTTTTCGACACTCGATCTCAACTTACTCTGGATGATAGCAGATGGCATATGGTTTCTTTACAATATCAAACTTGACCGGCTGCTCTCCATTTGGTGGATTGAGCATAAACAAAAAAGCACGCTCCGAATGCAAATAGCCACCCTTGCGGCTTGTCTTAGCCCAGGCAACGTCCGTATAGCCACCACTAACCTCGCCATGTGCGCCAAGTCCAATCACCATGCAATTTGCGACACCATCACAATAGCGATGAAATGAGTTGGAGCCAAATCCATGTGTGGAGGCGCGAAAAACTAAACGCCAGCTTTGCTTCGGCACACCATACCAGCCATTGAGCACGGCCTGCAGTGCGAGCTTATCGTTACGCAAGATTTGCGAACCAGGAAACATGTTTACGGCAAGCCGTGGCTGCAAACGCTTATCATTGTCGATACAGTGCATATTGGGATGGAGGGCAGCATAGCGATAGCGCTCTAGAGACAGCTGCATGGGTACCGCACCTGTGGGTTCAACTTCTTCGGCAAACACCTGACTATCGATGAGCAGCAGGCGCACATGGCCCATTACGCCACTTAGGTGCTGACACACTCGTGCTCGCTCCTCCTCGGTCCAATGGGCGGTGGGTTGGGTGACGCCCGCCTGGTACTTGGCCCAGGCTAGGACACACCTCCACACTTCCGCCTCCTCCAAACAGAACTGGAACACAAACATAGTTTATATACTCTATAATAATTGATCACTGAAAACACCTACATAGTCAGATGATATGATTTTTATAAGCGCCTCCTTGGTGAGAGTAAGAAAGGAATTTGTTTTAACGCATTCGCCGGCATTTTCTCCTATGTAAATGATGCAGCGTTCCATAAACGATGCCGCGCATTTGGCACCTGTAAATAAATTTTAAGAAAATTATAATTTATGCTTATTAAATATGAACTTCACCTGGTTTCCCATTCAAAAGTCGCCAATTTCATATAAAATTTATTTTTTTTATTGTTGGTTAAGTTTTCCATTTACAGTTAATTCACTTATTAGATATTTTCTTCAGAGAAATTAGTTTAAGAATTTTAGCCTAGTCCTTAGATGGGCTAACATTCTGTATAAGCGTTATATTGTCCCCCTTGAGCATGATGCGTCCAAGATTTTTGCGTTGGCGCGTTTTGACATAAACCTCCTCGGCATCATCCAGTACCAGATTCATGTACTCATCGAAGCCCACGATGTGGCCCTCGATGCGCAGCGAAATGTTCTCGTATAGCCACACTTGGACGCGCGAACGACTTTGCAGGTAACGAAAGATCAGGTTGATGGGCTGCACCATCACCTTTTGCACCTTAGGATTGCCTTTGAAGGACATTTTGGCGATTTATAATTGAATTTCTCTTTCGTTTTATACAATTTTTCGCAAAAACGTATGCCGTTTTTTCCCTGCTTTTGTTGCCGGCGTCTTTTTCGCTGAAGCGATACTATCGACAATACAACCATAGTCACTGGAAAACACGATAACATAGTAGGCAAAATATCGATAGTTGATTACAGACCGGTTGCGTCAGAAGTCCTCATTTAGAGAAGTTTTGTGAAGTATTTGCCCAAAAATAAACACAAACATGGCTCACACTACAGTTGATAAGGGTGAAATTATGGACCAAGTGAAGCAACAAATTGCCGTTGCTAATGCACAAGAGTTGCTCACACAAATGACCACAAAATGCTTTAAGAAGTGCGTTAACAAGCCTGGAACCTCGCTGGATGCGTCGGAACAAGTGAGCATGTGACCCAATACCACAATATTAAAACGTAATTGTTTTTATGTATTAAACAATATTTATTATTTACTAGAAATGCGTATCCCTATGTATGGATCGTTTCATGGATTCATGGAACCTGATTTCGAGAACCTACGGTCAAAGGCTACAACGTGAGCAATCAAATATGTAAGCACGATGTGCTGTTGATGTGACAACCGACTGCACTTGGAGCGTTATTCGTTGATAGCAGTTAGTTCTAATTAGTTCTTCTCGTTGTATAAAAAAAAAAAAACATAAAAAACTAAATATATCATACGTGTTTTATATTTTGGTAGGTAAATAAAACGTGCTACAGAAATAATATCGAAAGCACTAACTGGCGATGTACAACAGTGTGTTGTTTTTTTACCAGCCATCGATAGTTTTGCTAACATCGAAACCAAGCAACAGCTGTTTCTTATCGAAACGCGCTCGGCTGAATGACAAATAGTTATTGTTTCTTATCGAATAAGCGCGGTAAAACGAAATTATAAATGGAAAATATAAAACTGACGCACCTGCTTTCTCATGGATATCCATAACGGCAGTTAAAAAAGTGCATGCATTATCGACAGACAGTGTGGAAATCACGTGGTCCTCGCAAGCAGCGCGCAGTTCAAAAACACCCATATCCTGGGCTAAAGTTAACATTTCAAAAACGCGATAATCTTGCAGCATTAGCTATAAGAAATTAAAAATTAAAGTAAGTGTGATGTTATCCGGAGCATTTTGCATTTAACCTACCTTTGCAGTGTAAACATACAATATGAACTGTCGAAACAATTCGGCATTAATATGCGGCAAACGTATTGCCGTCGGCGTCCCAGTGCCTGGTGCAGCAGGCGACACTGTGCAGCCCGGAATGGGAATGCGGCAGACTTCGCCACGCTTTGCGGTCTTAAAGCTTTTGCAGCTAGTATGAAAATAAAAATTGTTAATTAACTAATCACAGCAATGAGTGGCACGTGCCGTGGCCACAAAATACCAACGCGCAGTGGAACACCACCATAAAAGGACAATCAGACCAATTGGTCCGGTATTCTAGACTTTAGAGATGAGCGCGTGACTTATTTTGATTATGTGACACAAACATGAATATAAATTGAGTATCGTAACACTTAAAAATGAAATAACTCAAATTTAATGAAAGTGATGGTAATATATTTAAAAATGATATATTGATGTATATTAATAAAAATATTTTGCTTTCCAAATGTGTTTCATCACGTGCCAATTCCAATTTTACTAACCGTGCCATGAGTATGCTTCTGTGTGCGTAAATCTTTTCGTCATCCCGACCGCAAATGAAGACAACATCCGCGCTGTCCTGGTCCTCGCTCAGGCGCTGCAAATCCTCAATTAACTGCGGCAGTCCAGCCAAAGCTGGATCGTTGTGCGGCGAACGTGCGCTCATCTCTTGCAATGTTTCTCTTCGCTGCTTCAATTGGATTACTGTTGTGCTTTTGTTGTTGTTGTTCTTGCTGTGCAAATATTTTGCTCTGTTTTGTTTATGTTTTCACTTCCACGTTCCGTTTTGCCTACGCGCCTGCGCTCAAAAGAGAGCGAAACCGGTTTCGCCTGAAAATGCTTCAAGACAACGAAACAACAAAAAAAAGTAAAATATCCCACGCCACGAACTAAAATTCAGTCGAGAAAAACAATTAGATGTTAGTTTAAACTGTTCTTGTGGAGACTTTTACTAGACTACGAACTTTTAATTAATATTTATCAACGTTTCTAGTTAATTTATTATAGTTTCATTTCATTTCTTTTGAATTTTTTGCAGCTAACAATCAATTTTCATTCATGCGCACGCGCCGCGTCTCGTTTCGTTAGTTTGTTCAGACTGAAGAAGAGGCTGGTCGCTACGCTCCGATCATGACACACCGTTAACTCAGGCCCTTGGCCCTCTTCTTCTTAGCGGATTCTGGAGCGCTGTTCTGGTTGCTTTCTCTTTAGTCTTTTTTAAGAGAGAGAGAGAGACAGAGAGCAGTTTAGAGTCTGTGCAACAGGTAAGTGAATTCCGGGGAAAATTTGACTACTGAAAAGCTACATAGCTTATATTGATGCAGAATATTCATTATGTCTTAAAATCATAATCTAATAATTGAAAGTGCCATTTTAAAGATATGTATTTATTTTAATAATATATATGTGCCAATACGTTGGCTGGGCAATTTTGAACAGATAAATTATCGAGGCGCCATCCAGTTGATGTTCATGCAGAAATTGCCCTGATAGGGAAATGCATTTCGGTTTTTGTACACACTAAGGCATTCTCTATTGCTGTCGCCATCTTACGTTTCGTAGTAAACACAATTTCAAATTTTTATAGGTTTGTGTATATGCTAAACTTTTCTTAACGTTTCAGCTTGAAAGTATGCTGCATTAACCGAAAATATATTTCTACTAAGCTGCCTGAAAGCATGCACCAATTTTTAAGAAACAGTAAAATATGAATTTAAAAATGAAAATTTCCTTTACACTTTTATCTTTGTCAAATATTTATTTATGCATAATATTTACCATTTGTTTGTGTTTTGTTTTTTGTCTTGACTTTACATATGTAATAAATTTTTGTTTTTTGTTGTTTTTTTTTTAACTTTTTTATCTTATTTAATTTTTTGTTTGTTTTTTTTTTTTACTTTTTATTTGTTGCTGCACTACTTAAATATGAAACGTTGAAGTCAAATTTTCTTGTTGTTGTCCTTTAACTGTTTAATTTGATTAAACTTTTATTTTTTATTATTAAATCGCGTTGTGGTTGCATTTTTTGTTTGTTTCTGTTTTGTTTTGCCCCACAATTTGTACATTTTATTTGCATTCTGAATGTCACAATAAATATTTAAGTAAATTATATTAATAATAATATAAATACATATATATATATATATATATATATATATATGCTTATATATATATATATATATATAAATATATATGTTGACAAGACGCGGATTTCTGTATATGTTTTCTTGCGTATTTGTTTATAACTAATGCCTTTAATTGTTGTTGTTGTTGTTGTTGCTGTTGTTTTTTTGCATATTACATTATTTTTTTATTTTTTGAACAATTTTAGAGTTTTGTTTTTTTAAGCAGCTGTTTATATAATTGTTTTTTTTTTTTTTTGTAAAAATTTGTTTATAATAAAATGATTGTTTTTTAAGTTTTCTCTTTTGTTTACTTCGTTTTAGTTATATGTTATAAAAAAAACTTCTTTGGATTATTAGCAAAATAAAAATCATACAAAAAAACTTTGTTTATTTTTTTATATAATTTTGTTCATTTGTAAAATTTGGCCTTTTATGTGTAAAAAATCTGCTGAAAACCGTTTTTGATTAACCTTTATTTTTATAATGTTTTTATCAATTTTTATTTTGTGTTTATTAAACAGGCCAACATGATTTGGTAAACGAAAATTTTACTAAGCTGAAGTTGAAAGTAGAATAAACTCTGATTGATCATAGCTGATCACAACTGATTCCAACTGATCATAAGTGATCACAATAGATCGCACTTGAGAATAAGTGATATTAGCTGATCACGATTGAACACAACTGATCACAGCTGATAACAACTGAACACAGTTGATCACTGATCAGTTTTTTTATCCAATTGTTTTCTTTTTTATTTATTTGAGTTGTTTTCATATTAAAATATAATTTTGTTTTAATAAAAACTTTCTGCTATCTGAAGCTTCTACTGCTTCAGCTTCAAACATGGTTTAAAATATTGAACAATTTAATTTGATCAACGCGATATCTTCTATTTCCTGCATAGTTCTCTTGCCCATCCTCTAAATCCTTTGTCTGCCTCACTTGCTCTGACTGAAGCAGCACGTGTTAGATAAACATTTTTAAAAATTTGAAAAGGTATTTTGTATTTAAGAAGTATATAACTTACATATCTTAAAAAATGAGAAATTCTGCTTCAATGTTTCAATAAAAATTAATTTATTGTTTAGCAAAACTTTCAAAATCCTATTGTTAAAATAGCTCTATTTGATTTCCAATTTAAATATAGCATATCTAAAAGCCTTTAGAAATTATATAATCCAATAACTGTAATAATAATAATATTTAATTGTCATCAATAATTTAGTTTAAAACTTTTGTTGGCCTGTGTAAATTTGTTGCGGGTTCTGTGGGAAGTGTTTTGCTTTTTGCTTCTGATTCCTTTTCCTTTTTTACTTTTCTTCGTCTTTTTCTAAATGAAAATAAAAAATAATTAATGTACAATAATTTAATTTTGTTTGTTTGTTTTTTTTTTTGTTTTTTATTTACTTTTGCATAGCAATTTGTAATTCTTTTTTCTCTTCGTTTTTTTGCGTATAATTTAAATAACTTTTAAATTTGCATAACAATTGTTTTTTTGTTTTATGTTGTTTTGTTTAAGTTATTAAACTTTAAATGTATATATATATTTTTTAATTTTAAATTTTAATATTAATTTTAATTTTAAGTTTTATTTTTTTTATTTCTGTTATTTTTTTTTGTATATTAAATTTACAATTTTACACAATTTTAGAAATTTTGGTTTAAAGTTTTAATTTTGTGTTGTTTTTCGAAATTCACTTAGAAACACAAACTCAGGGCGTTTTTTTTGTCAGTGTTCTTTTAGAAAGTACAAAACACACAGGCGTAATTAAAATTTAAGATATATATATATATATAGGAATATATATATATGTTTAACAAAAGTTTATAGATTTTTGAAATCTTGGCTCTTGGCTTGGCTACGTTTCTCTTCTTCTTTTTGTATCAACTGCTTCTTCTTCCCCAAACAGTGTTGGCAACGAACTAAAGAAAATGGTGCGTCACATGCCGATAGATCGTCAGTGAACGATAGCTATCGGTTGAAATGATATTTACAATAACAATTACGAGTATTTGCCGTTCACAATAGAAACTGCTTAAGAACTAGTTTGTTTAGCATTTCTTTTGTTTGCGTTTTTGTTGTTGGTTTTGTTAATTAATTAATGTTTTTCTTTTAGGGTTTGTTTATAGACTAATTAACTAAATGCCTACAAAGCGCTGCTTACAAAGTGAAACAGAAAAGTTTTACAGTTAATTTAAATTTTTATAATAAATATTTATGTTCATATATATATATATATATTTGTAAGTTATATATATAATATATATTCATGTATTGTTTCTTTGTTTTAATCAAACGCGCCAACTTGTTCAGTGTTGTAAAATATGTTAAATATTACGTTACGTTACGTTAAGATTGGTTTAGCAATTCGTTTATCTTAACGTTGTCCGTTGCGTCACATGACGTTACATTGCATTGCATAACGTAACGTAATTACGTCACGTCACATTGCACAGCATTACGCAATGTTAAGTTACATTGCATATGTAACGAACATTATATTATGAACCAGACAGCCACATTGCATTATATAACGTTAAGTTGCAATGCATTACGTAACGTAAAGTATCTTTGCATAGGTTTTCATACAATATATTGTAGTACGTCACGTTATGTTAAAATGCACATGCTAACGTTACGTTACACCACAATCACGTAACGCCAAGTGACGTAACGCATCGTTAAGATTGGCTTAGCAATTCGTTTTTGTTTCTTAACCTTTTTTAATTTGTTTTCTATTTTGTATCTTTTATGTTTTATATTTAATATTTTCATTTTATTTTTTATTCAGTGGTGGGTTCATTTTGTGTGTGTATTTGTTGTCTCGCTCTCGCAACGCGCGCGCTCTGCTCTTACGTTTACGTTGTCTCTTACTCCTTCTAACGGTTTCAGCTTAAAATTAATTAGTTAAATTAAACTAAAATAAAAACTAAAAAACTTAAATTAAAAAATTTAAATAAAAATTAAAAGTTCGTTATTTTTACTGTGGATGCCTGTAGTTAAAAAAAAATATATTCAGTGTTGAATAATTTGCTAAAAATTGTTTTGCAAGCCTCGCTTTGAGTTAATATTTTTTTCATCTTTTTTAATGTCTTCAATGTGTTTAATAACTAATCGTTAAAATTAAAAATTAAAATAATAATAAGAAACACACACGCATAAATTAATTAAATTTTTTGTTTTTTCTTTTAATTTCATTTTTGTTTTTTTTTTTTTTGTTTTTTTTTTTATTCATTTAAAGCTTTGGTTTCAATGTTCATAATTTCTGCAGCAGAGTTGAAGAAATTGTTATAAAGAAATTATAGAAATAGTTTTTAAAATTGTATTGTTAATTTTTGTTTTATGTTTTTTTTTTTTTCATAAAGAACAGCGAATTTTTTGGAAGCCTAACAAATTTGTTGTGTTATACGTGAGATCAAAACAAGCTACAAATAAAAAAAGGTTTTAGAGAAAGTGTTGAAAAACGTTTCGTTTTTTGTTTTTGTTTTAAGCAATTTTCGTGTGCGTTAAGCAGCGTTGAGCATGATTTTGTTTTTTTTCTTCTTTCTGTTTTCATTTGCTTCTTGTAAACTCTTAAACTAAGCTTAGTGTGTGTGTGTGTGAAAGAGACGACTATATGAGCTAAGTTCTAAGTGTTAATTGCAATGCGTTTGCAGCTGGCGGGCAGGGCTTTTAGGGGCGGGGGCCGAAGGGGCGAGGTTGTGCGGCTTAGACAATTTCCTTTTTGATTTGTAATTCGCAGTTCGTTGTTGTTGTAATTGGCGGCGTTTGCTTTTTGCTTGCTTTGGTGGCCATTAAAATGGGCCGCGCTGCTGGCGCTGGCGTCGCCTCTGCTGCCGCTGGCAGTGCAGCGGCATCGCGACGCTGACGTCGCTGCTGCTGCTGCTGCTGCTGCAGTTGTTGTGTTTGCAGTTGCTGTCGCTGCTGTAGCGGCATTTCATCATCATCTGAATCCTCTGACTGCTTCTGCTGCTGTCGTTGCTCTGCTCGCTCTAGCTGCGCTTCCTCCTGCTCCTGCTCCTGCTCATGCTCCTCTTCCTCCTCCTCTTCGCTGCACATTTGCGTCTTCTTCATGGCCGTCTCTTCGCTGCTGTTGCTGCCGTCGAACAGCTGGCCAGCCGTTGCTGCTGAATCTGGAGATTGAGGCGTGGTCGCTGTGGGCGGCTTAGCTAGCGCGCTGCTATGCGGCGCCTGCGCCGTGCGTTCGATCTGCTCAGCCAGATCCATTTCGTGGTCGTGCTCCTCCAACTCCTCCTCCTCGTCGTCCTCTTCAACGCTGCTGCGACTTGCACTTGGACTCTTGGCATGTCCGTTCGACTGCAGCTTGAGACGCTTGCTTGCTGGCGCTTCCTCCTCCTCCTGCTGCTGCTGCTGCTGCGTCTCTTTCTGCTGCACAACAGTTGCGCAACAGTTGAGCGAGCTGTTTACTTTGCTGCTGTTATTGTTGTTGTTGTTGTTGTTGTTGTTGGCCTGATCCTGATTGAGCGTTTCATTGCTATCCGCTTCGTCAGCGCCCAGCAGCAGCTCCTCCTCCTCTTCCTCCTCATCGTCTAGCTCCTCCATCTCCTCGTCCTCCTCCTCCTCTTCGAGCAGCGTTTGCTGCTTCAATGGCACCACACGCAGCTTGTCCAGCGTCTCCAATTGCCGCCGGCAACGCTGCAGCTGCTCACGCAGCTCTCCGATCTCCTCCTCCCGCTTGTGCAGCAGCTCGCTCAGCTGCCCGTTCGACTCGCGATACTTTTGATTCTCGTGCAACAGTCGCTGCAGCAGGTGCAGCACGCGCTCGCGATCCTTCGACCTGGTGTCCCGCAGCGCATCCACGGCCAACTCCCAAGGCGGCAAGTGCATCGCACTGCTATCCGGCTCGCCATGAAGGCTGTCATCATCCGTATCCGTCGACAGCTCAAACTCGCTGCCCAAATGTGATTTGCCATTCAGTTGCAACTGTTGCTGCTGCTGCTGCTGTTGTTGTTGCAGTTGCATGAGTTGCTGCTGCTGCTGCTGCTGCTGCTGCTTGGCATGTGGCGAGCTAACCACATTGGAGGAGTGCGTGCTGAGATTGAGGCCTGCGCTGGAAGACTGCGTGGGCGAGTAGCCAGCCTTGTAGTAGATGGGCTGCACAGCAGCAACAGTTGCTGCTGCTGCTGCTGCTGGTGCTACAATTGTTGTTGTTGCTGAAGAGGCTGTTGCTGCTGCTGGCGCTGCTGTTGCTGCTGCTGCTGCTGCTGCTGGCGCTGGCAGCGGTTGGCTCATCAGATTCTTGTTGATTCTAATGCGACTTGGTTCACTGTGATTGCTGCTGCTGGGCAGCAGCTTGGCGTGCTGATTGACGGTGGCTATGATGTGGTTGCTCAGCGGAAGAGCAACAGCAACTGTTGCTGCTGTTGGGTGGGCAGCAACTGTCGCTGCCGCTGCCGCTGCAGCTGGCACCGGCGATGTGGAGGAGGTAATCTCATTGCTGCCCGCCGAAAACTCCTCGGCTGGCACCTGACGAACGACAGCAACAGGCGCTGCCTTGGGCATGGGTGAGCTGCTGTTGCTGCTGTTGCTGTGGTTGCTGTGGTTGCTGTGGTTGCTGTTGCTGCTGCTGTTGCTGTGATTGCTATGGCTGCTCTGGCTGCCATTGGGCATTGGCTCGCGCTCGACGCCAGCTGGCGGCGTTGCGGCGCGCTCCTGCTTGATGTGCAGCTGCAGCTCGCGCTGCTCCAGCTCGCGCTGACGTTCGCGCTCCTTGCTCAGGATGCTCTTGCGCGGAGCGAGCGCCACATTGGGCTGATAGGTGCGCTCGAAGCGTTCGCGATCTGTGCTCCGTACCACGCGCTCCGGATTCTGCAGCTCCGGCGGCTCCTGGCAGGCGTAGGGCAGCGAGGACAACGCGCTGTACGCGTGCAAATAGGCGCTGGCCGTTGGCTTCACGGCGTGCCACGGCTGGAAGGCGCTGCTCGAGAGCGGATGCTGCGACACCACCCGCTCGCGCTCCCGCTCCCGCTCCCGCTCCCTCTCGCGCTCTCGCTCGCGCTCCCTGTGCTGCATGCAGTGGGCATACATCATCTGATAGTGCTGTATGCCCAGCGGATAGTAGTTATCCAAGGCGGCTGCCTTTAGCTTCTTGCTCGGAATGTCCAACAGCTCGACTCGCGCTCCATGGTGCGGATGGGTGTGGGGATGATGCTTCAGGCTGGCGGGCAGCGCTTGATGCGCTCCCGCCGGCTGCGATGGCGGCAGCGGCGGCGGCGGCGCTGGCGCCACCAAGCCCAGCGGCAACAGCAGCGACTCCTCCATCAACATTTCCACCTGCTGCAAGAGAGAGAGAGACAGAGAGAGAAGGTGAGTGAGCTGCCTGACGGTTATTAGAAAATTGATCGGCCATAAAAATAGATGCTGGCGAAACCAGTAGCCGTTGGCCATTAATTTGAATGGCCAGCGCGCCGTCGCCAGCATCGTTTTCGACGCGGCTAATTATAAACAAACAAGTGGCCCAGACAGGATCAGCGGCAGCAGCGATCCGAGCGCCCCAACTCCAACTGCTAAACGCCCCGCGGTTATGGCGCCAATTGTCATTGAGACAGGCGGCCAATGCGAATTGCCTACCGAAATACACTGCACAAAATTGTGCGACACTTAGAGTAGTCACTTGACTTATCCAATATTTTGAATACAATTTCGAATAGATATAAATTAAGTGAAGTTCAGTTTAGCCCTATTAAGACAGAGAGGGGCGTGGCTTGGTGCTTGCATGGCTCTATTTGGCTATGCACAATCAGCAGATGAAGCTTTGCTGAGCTGCCCAAGTCCAACTGTTTGCTTGTCCTTGCGTCTCTCATTCCTTTCATTTATGCCTCTCTCCTCGCTTCTGCCTTTCCATACGTAGCTAGGTAGACTTGCTGAATCAGTGACTATATGTAAGGGACTCCGGGTATCAGCTAGTCGAGCACTTCCCACTAAAGCCGCCTAATGTTTCGCTCAGTGTGCATGTGTCAAAAGGAGTTGTTTGGCTTCTTTGACTGGCATATTTTGCATTATCATGCAGCGACATGCGGCACATGGAGGATGGCTGGCTAGCTGGCTGGTTGACTGGTTCTCTGGCTCTCTGCTATCTTTCGATTTGCTTGGGGTTCGCGTGTTTGCCTAGCTGTTAAAATGATTGGCACCGCGGCCAATTATGGCCCCGTCGACTGAGCCATAAAGTGATTTTGAATGGAGGCGGCGCCAGTTGCCAGTTGCCAGTTGCCAGTTCTTCTTCTGCTTCTTTTGCTGGAGGTGTCACTGCGGCAGTTCAGCAAATGGACAGCTAAAAAGATGGCCAAGTTATTGGCCATTCGGTTGTTGGCTAACCAAGCACTTGGCCATTAGAAGCTTACAAGCCAACTAATCGCTGGCTTAGCCGATAATGATGAGCTGTCATTAAACGTAGAGTCATTAGCAGAGCAATGCCAAAACGTGAAAACGATTACGATAACGATTACGATTAAACCTATTCGATTGCTGTGCAAATGTCAGCATCAATGCAGTTAATCGATGTGACCATGCAAGACAGGTGTGGAAAGTTGCATTCAAGTGCCTAAAGGTGTTGAGGCATTTACTGATGATTAAGCTTCGATAATTGTCTATCGATTATGTAATTTCGGCTCGATAGGTTAATGTTTGAAAGTCAATTTTAATAGCTATATTAACATTATATAAATGGTTAAGGTAGTTACAAAAAAGTGTATAATAATGATCGATTGTTGATTGAGCAGTATATTTAAGAAAAAGTTATCGATTATTTTATTTATCTTATCAACTATTTAATCGATAACTCATCGGATGAATTTCAAATCCAACTTATATTTACCTCTAAATTCCCCAGGATAATCCCCTCATATGCTCTACTTATTGTTGTCATATATTTCAAGCTTACGGACTCCTCCATACAGCAAAGATCACACGCCCAAGGCGAATGGCTACAAAGTATGCAACATAAATTGCTAAACAGCTGAGCAACCCAAAAACACAAAAACTTATATGAAAAAAAAAGGAGAAGAAGAAAAGAGAAGAAGCAATGGGGCGAGAGGAGGGGGTAAAGAGTAGTGCAAGCCCCTCACTAACTATGCAAACAACAAGCAAACAAACAACGCAGTTAACTGAAACGTTGCGGCCGTAACTTGGCCAAAACGATGGCTAAACACAAGTTGGCCAAAATGTGGCGACGCGACGGCGACTGCGTTCTGCTCAAAAATGTTAAACAGAGATTAAGCCAGGAGCAAAGGCAACATAAAGAGCGAGAGAGGGAGACGAAGAGGAGGGCGAGAGGAGAGGTTAAAGATATAGAAGCGGCGATAACCAAACTGGAAGTCAGGCACAAACAACAGGAGAGAAAGAGATGGGGAGAGAGAGAGTTAAAGCGGGAGGCAAGGCGAGACTAAGCCATGTAAACAGCGGACGAGTGGGGATGGGGAAATACAGGCAAAAACTAAAGATATAGACGCAGCGATAAGCAAACTGAAAGTCAGAACACAAAAAAAGACAGCGAGAGAGTGAGAGAGAGAGAGAGAGAGCGAGGGGCGCTGTAAGACACAAATGAACCATTAAACAGCAAAATCATAAAAATCAAGAGCCATAAAGAAGTCGTCGAAGGAGCGCCAGTAACAAACAGAGTACAGCACACAGCAGTTCACGAACACACACACACACATACCCATAAGACGGACACTCACAGCTGAATCAGAAGCAGAGTAGAACAGCGAAAGAGAGAGAGCGGAAGAGGCAGAGCCGACTGTCGCCTTTTTTAACTGTACGCAGATGGCAGTCACCGATAGATGACGAGGACAGCAGCAGCAGCGGCAACAGCAACAGCGCTAGAAGCGAAGTGAGGAGAGCAGAGAGCTGGAATTGTAGCGGGTGCTACTGGTTAGCTGGCCACAGTTAGCTTTTGGCGCACGCCTCTCGTCGTCCCGCTGATGGCGCAATGACAAATTGCACCAAGAGACAGTCGAAGTTAAGCGGAAAGAAGGAGAGGCAGAAAAAGGAGCAACCGACGTAGGTAGCAGAAGCTGCCGTGTAGAACTGGGTGCGGGTGCCGATCGGTACAGTCAGTGCAGTGCAGCAGCTGCTTCAGTTGATGCTGCTTCTGCTGCTGCTTAAGTCCAAGGTCTTTTGCCATAACTCAACACTCAAAGAAAAAATTGGAAACACAAGTCAGAGCGAGACATTAAATACACTACAAAAAATACTCTGCGAGGTGGACTAAATCTTCAGATAGAAATCGAATAGATACAGTGTAGAATTTATAGATTCTTTCTTGGGCAATTAACTGTCTAAACAAATCTCATTCTATTTGAACAACTTGAAAAATAATATTTTGAGCTATGAGATTCTTATATTTTTATATACACACATAACATTAACTAACTAGAGAGCTAAACTAAGATACTCGCTGTTCGCCTTTTTGTATAGAGTGAAAGACACACCTTAGCGAAGTTTATGAGCAAAGTTATGTTGTCCCCAATTGCAAGTGTAAAATAAAATAATTGCGCCCAAGTGGCGCAGTCGAAGAGTCACCAAAAAAGACGTAGAAGAAGATAAAGAAGAAGAGGTGAGCAGAGGAGAGAGGAGTAGACACGACAAGGAGAGCCTTGGCAGGCGACATGACTTTGCTTGACGATAAGATCAAGATGAAGAGAGCAGAGGCAAGTACATGTTAGTGTGTGTGTATATGTGAGAGAGAGATTACGCGCGTGTGTGTGCGTGTGTAAGCCATTGATTTAGTTTGACAATTATGCAGAGCGGACTTTGACTTGAGCTGTAGCTAGTTTTTGTGGGTTAGTCTGCTTGGCAGTTGATGAGGAGCATTGAAAATGGAGCAGCGACTCATAAGCAAAAGGCAAATACGACACACGTTATTAAACCACCATATTAAATAGCAAATTGGAACTGATTATAATTAATAATTCTATTAATTTAGATGAATTTGCTTTGAATTCTCGAGGAAAGGAGCTTCTTCTGTATTTTGAGCTATTGGAACTTAAGTTCCAATCGGGAATATTAAAAAAATCAGAATAATATCAATTGAAAATCAATTTTAATACTGTGCAGTTCAAAGTTAGTGAAAGATTTAGTTGGCGTCGACGTCGGCATCAGCGTAGCTGCTGCGCTGTCAGCTACATCTGCATTTCTTGGCGTCCGTTGCACCAGCTCCCTTCCTCCCCCATAGTCAGCGCACCTCTCATTTTACCTCTCCCTCTCGCTCCCATCCCGCTTTTGCCGCTGTCTGCGTCTGGCGTGGCTTTAAACTTGTTTGCCAAGCGCGATTCGCATCGAATCGGTTCGAATCGAATCGACGTTGAAAGTCGCGAATCGAGAGACGACATTGCCATCCCCCAAAGTCGCGACATTTACAATTTTAATTCGTGTTTTTGTTGTTGCTGTTGATCTTGTCAGTGCAGTCAGCGTGTGTAAGCGAGTGACGGCGAGGGAGAGGAAGATAGAGAGAGAGGAGTGACTTAAAGCAAAGCAGGCGCACAAGAAGAAGGCGCAATTGCATGCGCAGCTTGCAAAACGTAATATGGTGATGGCTATTCAAATACCCTAGAAATTGTTGTAAGTACCATTACAAATTAAATAAAAAAATATACATTCTAGATACATACAGATTCAAGATATTAGAATTAATATGATATAAAATTGGTATATACATTTATAACTCATACTTTTTAATGAGAGAGAGAGCAACACTCAAACTTTTGGTTGAAGAACATTAAATATCCTAGAAAAACTGCCTTCTGAATATAAATTCCGAGACCTTATTTAAATAGGAGCCTATTTTCTCAGCTTTGTACTGAAAATTTTGATTCTCAGTTCTTATCTATATCTTTCACACATCATCTCAATTCTTTTGTTAATCAGCTCATTAGAGAAGGCTTTATAGCACCTGAAGTTCAGTTGCTGATGTGTGGGCTGCTCATATCTCGTATGCTAGTACCATTCAAAAGATCATAATGATATACATACGTATATATATATATATATGTATATATAGCATATATCTGCATTAATGGCTGATTTAATTATGTAGCCTGAGGAAATGAAAGTCTAATAAAACTATGAAAAAACCAAAACACAATTAAACTAAAACTGTAAAAGCTGGGCAAGAAGACGAACGAGAAGTAGGTAGCAGAATGAAAGAGAGAGGTGGGTAAGGGGATTGAAATAAAAAAAATATATATATATAAAAAAGAAGAACATATTTAAATCAACTTTAATGAAGTCGAAAACAAATTCCATTGCAACTAGTTGCTCTGCCTCGCTGGCTGCATATT